AACACAACTAATATAATTACATTACTAAATCAGAATACCGCAAAGTATTTATTTATTCTTAATTTTTCATTCTCTTAAGAATGTAGAGATAATTAAATGATCTAAACAAGACCTTAAAGTGGTTCCAGTTTCTCTCGATGGCCAACCTGCTGAAACTGGGGCAAATTTTAAATACCTTGGGTCGTTCCTGGACAGTCAGCTCAACTTTGCTGAAAACACTGGCTATATTTTGAAGAACTGTTCTCAGAGACTCTACCTTCTAAGAAGACTTGGTGATCTTGGGGTTGACCCAACTAGACTCTAGTTGGGTCACCCCTATGTCTTGAATTTGGGGGGATTATTTACCACTACAGAAGGGTTCAGTAAATACGCATATGAAACTGGTGGGTTCGGTACCTCAAAAAAGGTTAAGAACCACTGGCCTAGCATATGCAAAGGCGCTTCAGTAGACCCACGTGGATTCTCAGTCATTGGATGAAAAACAGTGACATCACAGTTCATCATTGACATGTGATTGGTTGGTTGATGTGTGCCCATTGGACAGCACTTATGTCTTTATAAATAAACCCCGCCCCAATCATTAATATTTTTAACGCTGTATTTAAAAAAATCTATATAAAAAATAAATGCTGTACTAAAATATATTCATTTGATATTGCTTATATGCAACATGTTCATATATGAGGAACATAATTGAGGCACAGAATTTTTTTTCTTTCATTTGTTTTTTTGTTTTTTTTTACTGTTTGCACACAAAATAAGACATAAATGCTTGTCCATTTCTGGACTATCTGGCAGTGTTTTTTTTTTGCCCAAACATGATCCAACATTATGCTCCGTTCAGGACAGGCCCAACGTCTCTCCTGTAGCTTAGACCCGACGTCACTGAGATTCTGGTTGGGGGAACTTGGGGTCTCAACCTCACCACAGGCCATCCTGACACCCCCTCATAGCTGCCATCCTCCCAGAATGCCACCTCCTCTGCTGCCAGTACTCTCTGCCTTCCTCCTTCAGCTGTTAACACAGAACAGACAATCATTATGAGCTACAGGCATCTTTTAGTCATTATGAAACTACAGTGAAATTGTTTAGCTTAGTATGCACACATAAGACATTAAAACAAACAAACAGACAAACAAACAAAAAAAACACATTAATACATTCTTACAAAAAATAAAAACTTTAATGAAAAAGAGAAAATACTTGGAAACAATTGGAAGAAAAAAGAATTAAAAGCAGTTGGTAATAAATAGTAAAACATAATTCAACAAACTTTGAGGCAGATAATTTGCTTTGATGGATTTTAATAAATCACAGTACTTTAATCGTTCAAGGAATTGTGACATCTCTAGATCTTACCTGCTTCTTTCTTGAGCTACATCTGGATGACTGGCAGTAGGTCCTGGATGCAGATGGAAAACATCTTTGTGCATTGTCAATACATAGCATAATTACATTATGTACATAAACAATATTGAAGCATAAAATATCAACATTCTAAAATGGTAGATACTCACAGTTGCATCTCTGTCCTCATCACGGACATCAAGATGTTTCTGAAGATTCTGATTGTCACAAATGTGACTCCCATTCTGTGGAGTGTCTGTGGAAATAAATGTAAAAGTAAAAAAAATATTGTAGCAAATATATCGCTTTCTCAAAAATACATAAGTAAATAAGTTAAAATTATTCTCAACCAGCCATTGTACAGTCGGAATAAACGCAGTGACTATACATAATACATACCGGCTTCATGGCACCGTCCTTATATCCGTCCTCCGTCCGCCATGTTGTCGATCTCTACTGCTTACCACACTCTGCCTTACTATACTACTTTATAACAAAATAAATAAAATAACCGGAAGATCAGTTTTCCTTATAAATATGCGAGTGTTCACTATTGACTAAATGTGAAATCATAACTTACTGAATTTCACTTCGTCCTGGTGGACTCCGTAAGAGCGCCTCGACACCGTGGTCTGAGGCCTGGCTGTTAAGGCTTAGCCATTTTTCAGGTCTGAAAAAAATAAAAGATGCGAGTATTTTTAAGGGCTCAGAACATCACATGTAATAAAAAAAATTACAGTACGAAATCTCACCCTACACTTGTTTTGGCATTATGAAAACGACAGACCGCTTTCTGTAAGAAACAAAGCAACTCGCCTCGCTGCACGTGCTCGCTATTCATAAAAGCTTTCTTACCGTGAGTTCGGCCTTGTTGGACCGCCGCGGTGTCATCTGTTGTTTTCCGCCGGGACATTGCTTGATATCAAAACGATACTGAAAAAGTAACTCCGTGAAATAGGACTTTTTCCACCATTTCACACAACGCACGGGCATTTTCGTTCATGTTGGGTTTAGCATTAGCACCCCTTAGCGCCGGTGCAAA